AACCGCTTGAAACGGAGAGTAAAAGTTGGAGAAATAAAGAAAAGCGACCTAGAAAACTTCCATCATTAACGGACCGACGTAAATTGATATACGAAAAGTTTCACAAGCTAATAAGCCTATTTCTAATTTCCCCATCTTTATAGTAAACAGATGAATCGGTGAAATATTGTCACAAAAGTTAGCAACATTAAAGTTCGCACTAACACCACCAACGCCTACATAGCACGGTTCCGACATCACACAGCGCCTGCCAAGACAAAAAGCTGTGAAGTCAAGCGTCTCGAAAAAGTATCACTACAAAATTGTGCTAACTACAATGTTATATGTATTGCACGTATTAAGCAAGTTAGCAGAGAAACAAACTTTTCTTTGGAATTCTTAATATGGTATCACAACCACAAACCCGCCGAGAAAATAAGGACCAAGAAAATTCTTCAACTGTAAAATTTTAACTATTTCTGAATAAAATAAGTATGTAAATAGTTCTCCATTTAAACAAAGTTGATATGATCGCACCAAATGCCGCTTAATTTTTTGACATTTAATAAGAAGTGAATTTTCACTTTCATTCATATTTCTCAGCAATCAGCGTCATCATCGTTTTGTTAGTTTTCCAGGGATTTCGCACTTTTAATTTGAATACATTTGGTGTTTTTCTGACAGGGAGAGCGATCAGTTAACAAAAGGTTGGGTCTTCTGTCCAACAACTGATGCATATATATACATACATACACGTACATACATACATAGATCCAGACAAACTCACCCAGGCGGTTTAAATTAAGGAGAAAACTTTGCACCAAATTTTCTCCTTAGTTTTGGCACATGACTCGGGACGACGTGAGTTATGGGACGGAGCTACTTTTTGGTTTCACACTTTCCCTTAAACTCGGATAACATCTAATTCTTTAGATGAAAAACTCTTCTCTTTCCGCCTGCTACCCAACACGTAGTCGTGCCATTAGATTCGAATACCTAGCACCCTCTTCGCTTTTGCTCTGGCGAATTGGTTTGCTACCACGATGCTTGTGACAATAAGTGAGTCTACTCCAGCTGCCTGTGGACATTCAGAGGTGACTTCAACTTTTCCAGCTTTCAAAAAGTTTTAGTCAGTTTTGTTTGAGTCCATTTCTCAAAGTTTCTGCTCTCTCGACTGGCTCCTCCGTCGTCGTCCGTATGACTCAACCAGTTGTACATACCTTATATATTCTATTCTCTTATTATTCCTCTTCTCCCTCTCTCTGGTGACTTGCCTTAAATTTGCTTCTTGAATTATAACCTCCAAACACTATAAAGTGGACTTGGTTTACTGGGCTATAAACGAAAAGACAGACTCAATTCCACTTTCTTTCCCATTTTTGTCTTGTCTCTCTTCATTTCTGGGCATGATGGCAAAGCATAAAAAAAGTTTATTTGGAACAGTGCAAATAAAAATAGTTCAGTATTCAACCATACGTAATATCATACGTGATCTAAATCGAATTATATAAGAATAGGCGTTTTGAATTCCTGAGGAACTATGAAAATATGGTTTCTTGGACTGTGCAAATGCTCCCACTTACTCAATTTTGGTCTCAATACAGTACCTAATTCGCCATCTCCTTGTGAAAATTTGTAGGCGTTGCATTTTATGTTTTCTTGAGGAGGAGGAAAAGTAAGTCTGAGGACGAATTCGAGGGCGTAAAAGAAAAGAAACTTTTTCAACTCAAGTCTGGTTCGAGTCTCTCCTAAGTGATTTTGCAAACATATTTGGCAAACAATCAACTTTCAATAATTGTCAGTTATTAGAATTCATCGTTTGTAAAGTTGTCACGAATCTTGTAGATGTTATTAGGTTGCAAACTTTATTGACAACTTTTTTAGGTTCTTTCGCTCCTTTACTCACTTTTTTCGCTCACTTTCTTCTCCATTATCTCGAAAGAAAAACCAATACCCTTCAAAGTACCAAAAGTAAGTTAATGTAGCTTACTTTCTTGCATGGGATATTTTTATCCATCGAGTTTTAAGATGCGACGCACATTCCTTTAGAATCAGTTTACTACTTTTATATTTATTATGCAATCTCATGTTATAATCCAATCGTACGTACTTATATGCATAAACCAATACGTCTTCATAATAAATTCATCTCAGCTCAACGAGGTAAATTGAAAACTAAGAAGGCTAATTAGTCAACAGAACTCTCTACTCACCGCACAACAGACATGCATAATCTCACTTTCTCCTAAATTATGTATAGATAAATGCCACCCCGACCAGCGATGCAGCAGACATGACATTCAATTCAATCCGGAAGGGATTACACTCTTATTAACCACTCAGATATGAATTCAAGTTCAACTCGTAGGCAAAAGTTCATTAATCTTATTTAACTACCTGCCTAACTGCATAATCCGTGGGTGATTTAATTATTCAATGACATTCACCAAGACCAAGAACTCTCCGCTGGCTTGACTTATTTCTTAGGACGACGACAGTGAAACAGATAAATTGAAAGTTGAACTTTATCTTCTCACTCGGAGCTTCCTCGCTCCGTCTCCTTTTCGATCCTGCTTCCCCCCGATTGAGATTGGCCACTCGACATTTTAAATGAGTAATCATTAGCTCCTTTTCCTCTTGTGGAGGGCGGCGGAGCGTTATCCTGAGAATTACGCATTTAGTCAAGTTCATCTTCCAGGATCAACTCACTTCAAAGTCGTCTTCTTTCTTATTTGGTGTTGCTGCTTCCGGAATATAATACGAGCGTGTTGCTCGTATTATATGGGCAACCAGCAGACTTGTATGAAATATGTATGAACTTTCACTGGAGCCAAAGTTAGCTTGAGCCCTGTAGGCTCGATCCCCGATTAGAATAACTGAAATGCTCAAGTAGTCAGGCAAGGAAGTTGGTGTAATATGTGCTGAGTGAGTCGGATGAGGAGATGCAGGCGAGGGAGAAAGTTCAACTTGCTGAGACTCTGGGTCGATGAGAGGATGCGTTTATTGCTTCGTTTGCTTTAAGCAGCCAGCTCCCTAATTATAGACTTGTACTCTAAATTAGTAAGGATAACTCTCAGCTCCTCTTTGCTTATTATACGCACATCACTTCTTTCACTGGAGTTCATTCACTAATTATGCGATGAGCAGTGTCTCTCACGGGGGAGGCAACTTTCACTCTGATCACATCCATTTACACGCGTACCTACATACACCATAAATACCTTTATGCCTATAAATATGTACTCACTATAAGACCAACATTATATTATTTTGATGGTAATGTCCTCCAACAAAAGTTCTGGTTCTTCCTTTACTGTCATAATTTGAAAAGAGATAACTGCTGATATTAAACTGTTAAGTATTCGCGTGACATTTATAGAGTTTGAATATACTCTTAAATGGAGTGTCCCATTCTTCTTATCGCTACATGTTTATATAGATAGTGGATCGCAAGGACCGCGTTAAAATTCCCCCTCACCCTCTCGAATGCTCACTCAAACAACTTTGAGTTGTCGTGATCTTGAACTTTATCTCAGTTCGAATTGCTTGTTGAAAACTTGACGACAAGTAAATATATTTAAACTTTTTACAATAAATGTCTCCGCAGGGGTGGAGGGCGAATTATATTCCGAGAGTGAGTAGGCATAATAATGTCGTTTGAATAATGTACAAGTTCATAATGAGTCATGTTACATAAGCTGCGTATTATTCACACTTTGTGTACATATTATTAAATAAGGCAACAGTGGCCAACCTCACGAAATCTAGGAGGAGAGGAAAGGAGGATATAAAAAATAAAAAATAAATAAAACTAGTCAAACATTAAGGAGTGCCATGAAATGGAAAATGGGAAAATAAAGAGGGAGCAAAACTACATAAAGTTTAGCCCATGTGTTATGATATACTCGTTTGGCACTACAATGAGATCGATGCGAGGCCTCGACCTTCCATCCGCATCCGCACTTTTCCAAAGATCTGACTGCAGATTATTCTTATATCGTCTCTTTGGCTTTCTTTCACTGCGGCTGAGAACTCATATGCTGAGAGAGCACATCGCAACCGAGACTCGTATCGCGAGAGTATGTACATACATAAGTATAACGAAGGGAATCAGCCATCCACTAACCGCAAATGCACTTCTTTTAAATCTACATTGGACCATTGAACATTATTTCTCCATCCAATTCTGCGGCTCTGCTATGAAGCCTGATAATCATTTGTGCTTTAGCTTTCTTTTTGCTGTCGAAAGAAAAAGGAAAGCACGAAAGACCACATAGTTTGCTTGCACTGCAACTGGCATCTCTCTGACTCTCTCGTCTCCATGTTGCTGTATGTATGTGTTTCTCCATTTTGGTGTATTTTTTTCCTGGCCTGGACTTGTAAGGGTTTACTCCAAAGGAGTCGGAGAGAAAGTATTCGACATGTGGCGTAGTGATCTGCCTCGCGTTATTTGACACGACTCGCAGCCCTGTTCACTCTCACTTTTGCTCTTGATTTAATTCCCTCTGCAATGGGCTTACCATTACTTCATATAGATAATTACGCTGCACTAATGCTCTCTTTCTCTCTGTCTGCACTTCTAATGTTCTCCTATCGCTCTAATGTCTTCAAGATTGTGGCACAAGTTCAATATTGTTGTGTATCCTGCTGCACTTCTGCCTCCTGCCTGCGCCCCGAGTGTTATTGATTCTCCTTCTAAAAGTTTTGAAGGGTCAATGCTCATCTCATGGACGTTTATATTTATCACAAAATGATGCTTAACTACGTAGATATTTTTGGCACAATCGCCGTAATATGTTGGGATTTTTTGTTTGTTTTGCAATTCTTGTATTTGCTAAATTATGGGAAGTATTTTTCAGTTAACAATGTGTTACCGCTTGCATTGCATTTGCTGCAAATTAACTAATAAAACCATTATCATATTTTTAATCAATTGTAATTTAAACAATCTTCTGATTGTATAAACATGATATGTGAGCCGATTAAAAAATTAATATAAATGAAATTTGCTTGTATTTCAGTTCCTACAATTGATATCCAATCGGTGGAAAAAGGAACTGCCAACTTACGTAAGCTTAAAATATGGTAACAATAAGTTGAATATGTGTACTCATTATCTCACGATTATTTATAATCTCACTTGCAGCCTGTGATATTTCGCTACCGGAACCTCACGATCCCACAGATGACGTAATGTTGGTATTATGGTACCGAGAGGATCTGGGTCGACCAATTTACAGGTTTATTAAAAATATACTAAATGCATACCAAATTCACACTAGTTTATTTATGTATGTATGCATTCATCCTCATTGCCGTTCTGCACTATTTACTTGGTACTATTTGTTTCATTCTACAGTTAATAATGAGTGCTCAAAAGAGTTTGTCTGACGAAAAAAAAACAATTTACACGCTCTGAAAATCCTTCTCAAAAGTTTCATAAGCACAACAAGCTCCATAATCCGATGCTTGAAGATAAACCGTGTAGGAGATGTCGCATCCAATCGGGAATAAAAGTGTCGCCTGTGCAAAGTCCGCTTTATTCCTCTGTTTCTTTCAATGAGAAATTCGGAAATCCGGTGTTGTAGAATTTAGGCTCAGTTGTTGGGCGAGTTGGTTGGAGACGTGCAGTGGAAGGGAAGACCGATAATTCTCTTGTTATAGAAAGAAAGAAACACATCAAGGATCACCACCAGAGACCGAGCTTAAGCCATCACTTCTGCTGCTGACCAAACGAGACTCGACGTGCATTGTTTTCCTACAACCCTTGAATTCACTGCTGACCAAACATATTTTACAATGGATTACTTTCACAACTCCAATAGAAAGCACATAAACCGTGAAACTCGTTTGCGAGTAAAAAAGATTCGTACAATTCGACAACAACAAATGTGCTCAATAATTAAAACAAGTTTGCAAACAGTGCATGCGAATGTGAGGAGGAGGAGAAGTATGTAAAGAAGCACTCTGGTTCGAATTATTATTACTCGATACAATAAAAACAGGGCGGAATGAGAGCTTGGCTTCCGAAAGATTTAATTTGAAATGTGCAACAACGAGATGAACGAATTAGACGGGATTACAACTGCAAAACTTAGGCTCCTCAGATAGTCAGATAAGTAGAAGAATTGGATTGGGCGAGTGTGCGAGACGTTGAAAGGAGGCTGAAGCTCGTGAGGAGCGAAGTGGAGTGAGTAACACAAGTCATTAAGACTACGAACTTCCTTCCTCCTCTCCCGTCCTGCGTTCCCTCAGCCTCTCCGCCACTCAAAGTACGTGGAGAAAGTCGAGGAAGAAAAAAAAACTCACGCTAAGCAAACAAAATGAGCCTTAAACCTATAAATTGTTGATGGTTGTTATTCTTGAGTAAAACTCTGGTCCCTCTTTGCATTGAGCAGATATTGCAGGGCAGGTCGGCAGCAGGGCTATAAGAGCTGATTGAGTGAGGCGAGCATGAAAAAAACTACATGCGTAAATGAGCAAGTGGGTGGAGGATTCACAAAATACTTTGTTTCGAGAATTTAATGAAGTGAAAGGGAACAAGGCTCTAATTTGTTCCAGTTAATATCGACCCACTTATTTATTATTCTTATCCTTCCTGAAGTGCCTATTTGTCCAGCAGCACTTTTCAACCTTGCCCAATTTACTCTGATGCAATACCATGCTTCCAAGTATACATATAAAAATTTGCATCGCCCAAGATGCTATCGCGGACATGTGTAACAAGAATGTGATAAACAAAGCAAAGGTTTCGGGAATGTTGGCATCATATCATTAATAATTAAGGCTGGGAAGTTGTGGTGGGTCTAATTTGCATTCTATTGTACCTGGAAGAGTCGTACAAAGCAGAGTTTCACTCTCTATTCATGGTTTGAGATGCAATGCTAAGTAGGATTTTGTGCAACTTTATTCTTCTCCAGTTCATTTTTAGGGAATAAAAGGAGGAACATGTGTAATGCTGTGTAGTCTGAGGATTCACATTATGTATTGATGCTGAAATGCAGGGTTACTTATTGTTGTTACCAGCCTACAATTTACGATATTGCTCAACACATACATTTTTTATATTTGCCAGAGGGTAAGCAGAAGCTGCTCCTTGCAAAGGCCCATAGCCGTTGGCTGGCTTGATGGTGAAAGGTGAAAAGGGGGAGCGCGTACATGAACCTCAAAGGCTTCACATTTCTTTGGCCGAATTAAATATTTGAAAATGCATCATGAAAACGAAAGGACGCCCATCAACTCCAAACACTTTGAAGTTTGAAACACGTTTAATGCAAACAGGTGCACGGAGAAACTTATTTACTTGCTCTAAATATATTATGAGGCCCATGACCCACCCAACCAGCGACAGGGGCATTCACTCACTCACCATAACCTTGGCTGAGAAACGTCAAAATTACCAGCAACCATTGTGGTGGGTTACCACCAGCAGTTTTTTATTCTGTGGAGCCAACAATGCAATAAACTTTTTTTATAGCGAAGGTACATATAAGTCTCATAAACCATTTCCAGTCAGGTTGAGTTTGTAGATTTAAATTTAAATTTCAAGGATTGTTTCAAAACCAAATGTGTTTTTAAGGTTTGCGCAAAAGAAAAAGAATTGATCTGTAATTGTGAACAGCGATGTTTTATTGCAAATAAAATAAATATATCAAATCAGATTATCTTTGTTTGTATACAGAGATATCTGTAGTACGATAGTTTTATAATTATTATTTTACACATCTTGCAGCAATAACATGTTATGCCATCTCTATCTGATGGAAAACTTTCTTACTCACGTTTATGTATCATATTCATCAGTAGTTGAATTGATCCTATATGCAATATGATCATCTATTTACGTATATATTACTTGGCAAGTCAAGACTCAAGAATATTGCATATATCAGATTACATACGTATATCAGACCTTTTCCGCCGTCGTGCTAAAACTTTGAGAACTGTTGCGTCACAACTGGCAAACAATGTAAGTACTTTTCAGCAAAACTTAGTTTATAAATTTCTTACTTTATTCAACAACCTGGGAAGAACGCAGCGACCAGAAATGTCAGCAAAGCCTAAAGTTATAATAAATTTGTACGATGAGATACTTACCACCATAACGAAGCAAGGCTGTCTCAACATCCACCCACGCCCACATGTCTCGCTTTCGGTCCTCATTTTTTAGTAGACTTTGAGAAAATGAGCAGAATATTTCAGCTCAGAGATAAAATGTGTTGCATCAATTATGAGAACCTGTCCACAGGGGTAAACACCCGAGATTTACTACTTTTATGAATATTGCGATCCTATGTGACTAATATATCTAATTGTAAAATGGAACTTAACCTGCTGATGATAAATAAATTTAAAAGTTGAATTATAGAGAGAAGTAAATAGTTGAAATTCATCACGGCACTGCCTTTTCGAACAATGAGAGGAAAACCCAGTAGTGGGCAAAGGCGTCGAATGTGAATCAGGGCCCGACCATCATATAAAATCAGAAAGGTATTAGTCAAGTCACAAGCCTTGGCTATTTTTGGAATCAGTTTTTTAAACACGGTGTTGAACACAGAAAATTTAGCTTGGGTGGACTTTGGAAATATTATCTAAATGGTGAGGTGCATGAAATCCCTGTCACCCTGGTCAAGAAAGTGTATGAAAGCTGGAAGCGACGATGCAGAGTTGTTCACGAGAATCATGGCGATCATGTGGAAAGGACAAATCATAGCAAAAAATTATTATCTAGGTAATCCAATCTTTGATAAGTGATCAGAATAGGAAAAAAACAACCTCAGCACATACTGAAATTTATGTACAAGGAAATCGAGGGTTTGATACCAAAAATGTCAGGTAATAGTGAATATGATTTTGATCTTTACTGTCGCATATGTATATGTGTTTAGGTAAGTACGCATGATTGCACAATCGGGATGGAAATTTAATGTCTGGCTGGTGGCAGGGATTACAGAAATTCCGTATTATGTAAATGAATTATGTAACCTTTTATATTACATGATTGGGTAAAATAAAGTATTTTCGAAAAACGACTGAAACTTTTTTTATTATTAGAAAAATCCTCCGATATCAGGCTACATCGAACCCATCGGTCTCTTATGTCCTTACCTTATCGTCTGGAGTCCATTAATCTCGAATTTTGTTTAAAGACTGTGTCAGGTGTGCTCAATCTACATATAAAAAAGGCGAAGGCCCGCACTGACTTTCTTTGTCTCTGATATGTGCTATTTTTTGTCTTATAACAGCAATTTCGATCTCTACTGCTCCTTCTGCCAAGAACATTACATTAGTTGGATGTTGATTCTTCTCCAGGACTGAAGCCTCCTGACTCTCTCTCTCTCTTTCGCTCTCCTTGCTTTAATAATAGTGAACTGGAGCATCTTTGCTTTCCAATTCTAAACATGTCCTTTGTGTACCACCTTTCTCGCGGCTCAGGACACTAACAACCACCCGAATCACCGTGCGTGTTGTTGCAGTGTCTGATCTGAAGGCTTTAGCCTCCTTTTTTAGCTCAAGATTGACCTAACTGGTCAATTCCAATCGTTTTGTGTGGTGGCTGGCTGGGACTGCTGTGGTTAAGTTTGCTTTGGCACTTTTCACCGTTACTTCCCCACTATAGGCCTTGTATAAATGTATACTTTTGGCTGATTTGAGTCGAGGTTGTTGGTGGCTGGCTGAGGGTTGGAAAGCAGAAGAGTAAGAGAAAGGCAATGAAATGAAGGCGGTATCCAAAAATCCACAGCTCATCCTGAATTTCAGAACGAGGAGGATACATCTTCTCACAAGGGAACCACATTTTTGCGTCCTCCTCTCTCTCTCTCTCCTTTTAAGGTTTATTTCCTGCTCTCTGGAGATTTTTCAACCGAAAAAGGCCGCTGTATAAACGCCGGCAGAATTTTAATTTTAAGTGCAATCGGTCCTAATCTATACTCCCTGTCGCATTGCCTTTTAAACCAAAAACGACAATTTTGGTGCTCGAAATTAGGACAGGTTTCCATCATTTGAGGTGCAGCGGAGCTCTGCAGTTCGTGTTATGAAATTTGTTCATTTTGGTAAAAGGCAGGAGTCAGATCGATCCCGTCCTCCACAGTGTTGGAAGCGGACAGGGCAGAGTATGACAGAATTTATAGAGTATGCGTGTCCATGAAGGAATATGCTGATAAAGCAATCAATTGTCAAAAGCAATATGGAGTGAGAATGAAATGGACATAACAGGATCCTATCTTTATTCGAGGCATTCACGAATTCCACCCAAAGCAAGATTTCCGTCATGAGTGATGTTGACATTCAATTCTACATCTCATGAGAAGAAAATATTCTGTGCAAAAGCGTCAACTCTCTCCTTCTGCAGCACAACTAACACTATTGCATTCCCAGTATTTTTCCTGACGTTCTGACACACATATCATTCCCAATTTCGGTGTTGGAATAACAGCATTTGCACCCGTTCAGTCAGCAGTGACAAAATTGGGACAAAGAGACAAGTTTATAATCTGATATCGTCCGTGTATGTACGAACGTACGTAGTTATCAGGAACGTCTCTGCGCCACTCATTCGTATGCCGTCAGCTAATATCATCGCACAACGTGTGTCCACAAAACAAAATTAATGCATTATACAATTAATATATTTATTATACATGCAATCGCATGTTGTACGAGATGATGGCTTTATTTTGTAAAGCTTTCTCCTCGCATTTAGTTCCAACATATGAGAATACGTCTATTTACTATTTGCGTATGTGATCCTGGATTACGGTCGATTCTTTTAAACTGCTGACCATCACTATCAGTATAGGAATTAGAAGGATGAGGGTTGTTGTTGGTTGGCTGGCAGTTGATCTGTTCTGAGGAGAAATTGATGAAAATTGTGCATTGGAGTGGATATGTTCTTGTCACATGCCGTAACAATGTGTAGTTTCCTCGTCAGTGGGTAGGAATTGAGAAGAGCCTGCCTGGTCGGAACGGGATTTTGTTCCCGACTCTGATGCAATGACCGGTGACGGCCATTGTGATCTCTTTCACTCCCATGTATATATAAATGATAGTCAAGTCAACTCAATTTTTGTGCAACCTTTGATCCCTACTCCTTCATAGCCAACAACTTTCTAGTTGGATGACACACGTGGATTTGGTAAGAGGATGGATGATGCGTGCCCGGATTGATTATAATTTTTCATAGAATTCACGTCAAACACAGAAGGGTTTGCGGGTGGACAATGGAAATGGTGTGTTTAGGATCGAGGGATGAAATCGCTGTGTTGCAGGTCAAATAAGTTCCCTGTTTTATAGGAAACATACGTATAACTAGAGGCAAACAAAGCCGTTAACAAAATTACAGGGAAATCAAATAGTTTTTACGGTTTCCACCCAAAAGACCGCACATACGTACCTGTGAGCACACTGTCCACTGGGTAGATACACATATAGTGGACTCTGCTATTTATTGTACTTCTGAATTTGAGTGGAGATGAGCATCCGCTACCACAATGTCTACCACAAAACCAGCCATGATGTGAAATTAACTGGCAATTAATTTATTTTCAGCGTCGACTCCCGTGACCGACCCTTCAACGAAGCAGAGAGATGGTCAGATGAAAATGGTTCGGCAAAACAAGTTCAATTATTTTTAAGGTCGAAATGACTCTTTACTACGTCTATTTCCATTTTTTGCTTTAGTTTTTGGAAATCGGGCTTACTTTCGGCTCAGCTCTCGTCCAGCCATTCTCGCCATAGAAAACGTCGTCGAGGGTGACGCTGCTGTTTACAGATGCCGGGTTGACTTCCGACTTGCCCAAACGAGGAATGTCAAAGTCAACCTGACCGTTATAGGTGAGTGACTTTATTACTTTCACCAGTTCAGCACTATTCATGTATCCATCACAATCGGGAATCTCAAGTCTGCACATAACAAATTCCGAAAAACTCATCAGTCAATATTTCTTATATGTACTCATGTACATATGTGCAAGTGTATTATCGAATCCTTATAAGTTTATGCATAACCGAACAAAATGGCTTATCACACTTTGGTAGAATCAAATTGATCTTTACATTGTGTAATTATGTTCAAAACACAGTTGTAAAATCACAACAGGAAAAATTTTATGTCATACAAATAAATAAATTCCTTCCCGTTTGCATACACATGGGTTGGGACGGCAGAGGTATTATTATGGGAGCTTAAACGAGAATATAGTATTTGTACAAGCATTCCTTCGTATTTTAGCATTACTGGTCCATAAATGTGTCACGTAACTTGCATTTCCCAACTTTCATTGCGCTAATGTGCTTCTCACTCCTTTCACCATTTTAGCCCTCCGTCCAATCTAAACTTTTTCAGGCTTATCTTCAGATTGAGTTTTAGCGAAGTGGAAGTCCAGTCTGTGACACAAATTGGTACACGGTAGAAATAACGTCCTAATCTTATTGGACAATGTGGGTGGGGAATAGTTTCAGAATCCCTGCACATCCACCACCTTGAACGATTCGACAATGAATTTCCAAGTTTTTTCCGCATTTCCGTATTACGGAAATAGAACCACCTAATCTACTCATCCCAGGTTTTTGGAGAAATATTTTTGCCGATAAACTTTCTTTTATTGTATGTGTGGCTGGGGTTATGAGCATATGTACATATGTAGAAAGCGTAGCTTATTCTAACTTTTGCTTGGTACGCTAAAAATAATCGTGCGACACGATAGAATGACGTGATAAATAAAATAATGCAATGTCTTGTTCACAGAGCTTTCTAAACTTGGTTAGTAAACAAGTATACGAACCAGAATATATGAAAATTGATTTTTATGCAAAAAAACACAATCACTACTTTATCTACAATTTTAAGTTCTGCAGTTTGGTGGCAAATATAAGTAGTTTACTATTGGTTGGATATGTACATACGTATTTATTCATAGAATATTTATAGAATGTATCTGTTTACTTAAATAAAATCGACATCCTTTACAGATCCATCCACAGCAATGTAGAAAAATTGACAAAAAGCAGCTATTAGTTTTGAGAAAGTTTGAAATTTTGATGACGTTGTTGAACTACGTATTTACTAATGAGATATAAGTACATAACAAGTATGGAGGAGAATCCATGCATAACTTAGTTAGCAACTTCAACTCGTTTGTAGTACGCACGTTCATGTGTCTGAATGTAGGCATGTTGTTGAGAGTATAATTGAGTATCAATATAGTTTTCAAGTTGAGACGAGATTGGTGTAAATGGTTTCAAAGTTTGCTACTTTTCAACTTTCTCTTATCGTTATAACCGCAGGGTAGGAGGTGTTATTATGCCAATAACAAATTTTCTAACAATTTCAGCACAAATATTAACGTTGTTTTCAGGGTCACATTTTATTTGTTTTCCCAATTTCAACTTTTCAAGCTAAAGTAGCAAAAAAGAAACATTTTTCAATCGTGTCTAATTGAAGCTGTTTTTTGCATTATTTGCGTATTGCTAGTTGAAACAAGTACATACATGCATATATACACTTGGTCTTCAATCAAAAAAACTGCACCAGCATGTCCATGTTGCTTTCGTGCTTTCTCAGAAAACCTGGAAGCTAAAGTTGGCCAAAAACTGCGTGGTAGCAAAGGAATATGTCGGCATGGGCTCAGACGAAAAACAACAAAAAAATGTGTCGAATTAGGAAAACTTCAATCACCAAATCGCGTATTGGATTCAGGAAGCGGAAATTTCATGTTCTGCTTCTGACACTTTGGTACATAAAAAACAAGCACTTCGTGATTTTTAAGTTACACTTAAACTTTGTACAACTTGGAAATGATACGGTGAACATAAAAGTGATTTCAAAATTTAATGTGTGGGAAAGTTTGCATTAACCAAAAAAGTGTAACGAATTTTACCAGAATTTTGTGCCCTTGTTAAGTAAATCATGCAACACGGCATGTAGTATGCAATTGCCTGCGTGCTTGGATTTTTTGCCCGTCAAGTAAATCAATGTGTGGAAGAGTTTGAAACTCTGAGTAGAAAAAGTTTCTCCTTTTTACAACCCTGATTGATATACAACTTTGTAATACAGAAATTACTAGTTTTTCCCTAAAACCTGTAGTGCTATTTTGCCACTCGTGGAAATTGTGTGTTTAACCTCCTGTCCAAAAGAGTTGGTTTGCAGTTAAAAACCATGTTTCTTCGTGACCAAGTCGCAGAAAAATGTGCCTCAGCATGAAATTCTAAGCTTAGAAGGAGCACTTTATAAAATCTGGTGGTGGCGAGTCCATAAAACAGAAAAATGTGATAAAAGAATCATCAACATTTTAGCAAACCACAGCCTAACCCCGTGTGTGCCATGCATTCTTTTCTTCCTTTTCTGGCTCATCCAATTCCTACATTTCTGCTGTGTCCGTGCCAGAACGAAATCAGGATCAAGTCCCGGCATGAAGGAGAAGGAGCAAGAAGAATAAATTTACAGCATGAATAAGTAGCGGTGGTGCAGTTTCGCAGATACTTCTCCGCATATGCAGCGTGAGGAGACAGTCGCCGCTGGTTGGCACACATTATTATCACGGGTGCTGCGAATCCTGCCTGTTCTCTCTCTTTCTCTCTGTGTTGCGTTAAAGAGTAAAAATCCCATCCACAATCTATCTCACCCATAAACTATAAGATCTAACTAAACACAGTATAAATGAAGTAGAACTAAGAACTTGGAAGATTTTCTCTCATGAATGCTCTGGTATGTGCGAGTGTGGTGCCTCCAACTCTTAACTTATATCCAACAATCCCAACCAAATTCAACTCGCCTCGTTGCTCCGCTTTGGCAAAAGAAGAGAGAAAGCAAATAAGAAGAAGAAGCAGCAGCAGCAGCACTTCTGTGTGCAGAACTTGGCAATTTCGTCTGTATCGATCTCGCCAGCCTTCTCCACAATCTCTCCGGCACACAAGCACCACCATCAACCAACCAACTTCTCTCCGCGCGAATCCTCCGTACATTTACTCACTTTCTCTTTTATTCACTTTCTCTCACAAACTACACGTCCACTCCGCTCCTTCCGCGTCCTCTGTACATTTACCCATTTTCGTGTTTGGATGGCGTGGGAAAACTACGCCAAATCGCAATTCATGCCAGACTTCCTATGATGGTGTTGGATTGGAGAAGGAACAGCTACATGTTGATGATAGTACTGCCGTTCGTACATGCCCTTTGAGGAAGATTGTTATCTGTCGGTGCCTTCGTTGCTCACTTCTTGCATCCACATGTACAGCGAATTGGTTCAGGGAATGGAATGAAATTATTCAGTCAGCAACATTGTGCTAGCGAGAGAGAACAGGAAACCGCAAGATTTCAGTATCAGTTACTGGCAATTCTAGCCTTTCTACATCATAGGATTTAATGAAAATAAGTCATTGGTGGGAAAAGTTGCAGACACGAAGCAGCCACACTGATTTTTTTCTGCTCCCAGATAAATTGTTTCCTGCAAGGCTTCCACATTGTGTTCAACCAACTTTGTTGTTATCCCGATTTTTTTTAGAAACCCGTCTTTCCTTTTGTAAAAAATGCGCCAATACTTATGTCACACCACAAAAAATAAATCGCGTAGCGAAATTACATAACATTCCGTTTGAATTATATAATTCAAAAGTGTTTGTCAATAGCACACGGTCAAAACAAGGTTGCATCCTGTTGGTGCATGGGAAGCCAAATAAGCACGATTATTTACTCAGTCGGGTATTGTGTTGGCTCATTGGATAATATAGGTTTCAAGTACAACATGAAATGGATCCGTCGTCCTCCAAACGTGTTTCCTCAGCTGTCCTCATCATTCAAGTCTTTGCAAAAGTAGCGAAAACAGCACTTGAGCGGAAATCTGCTCTTCTTCTTTCAAGAAGATCCAGATTCTAGATTTGATCGTCTTCGTCTCAGTCTCCCTGTGAGGTTATCCATAAAATTCAATACCATTATCATACACGTATCTAACGGGATGTATGTGCATGCACTGTGTGCTTGTACCAGCAACGCTAAACCAAACAAGGTATGCAATTTACTCCAGTCAGAGTCAAACTTTTCACAAAAGTTGAAATTGGGGCTAACCTTGTTTCGTTTCCGCTTGTTACGAATTACTCTTGTTGGGTCTCAGACATGCTCTGTCTCGATGTCTATATATAAATATGTGTTGGTAGATGGTTGCCATTTACAAAAAAAATTGAGGCACGCTGTTTGTTGCAGTATTGTCAACAACACAGTTTACAAATAATTCGAAAATCTCTTGTGTCCGTTGCACTGCGGTTTGAGATTGTCTTCAATAGCATTTAATACGAAATAGATACTGGCTGCAAATCTGAAACTGCAACGGTATCTTACACCCACTGAGCATGACTAATCCTAAGATGGGTGCAGCAGACCTTAATCGTACACATATTCGTATTCAGTAAAAGTCCACTTTCCTATAGCCACCATGGCTTCCGATTGTCACCACCGTCCAACCACCGATAGTTAGAAGCAGGTGAAATGTCCCCGAATTTATTTAGGATATCACACTGGATGGAGAGCAAGGCTGTGTGTTTGGCGTGGTTTCAGTCGACTTTTCACTGTCTCCAACCTTGTCGAAAGCATTCCGCCCTTGAGAAGAATGAAAACGGGATGGAAGGAGGAATGAGTAAGGTGAGCAAGCAAAGTAAAGCCCGAGGCGAATATAGCTGACTTCATCGAAAATATGTGGGTCTTGATGCCCCTGAGGAGCCAGTCAGCTATCGTCAAACCATCAATATCTGCACCCACCTGCTATCACTTACATGAATGTGCCAAAGGAGATGATGAGACGACTTCTCTTGCTCCATCAAGTGTGATTCGCCTCATCCCTCCA